TATATGTGTTTGTTTTTCGCCCCCCGTCTTGCTGCACCCCCTGGGGTGTGGTGCAGGGCGGGGGATGCCTGGTCGGCGGGAACCCGGCACGGAACCCTCCGGCGTTGTAGGCGGGTGTGGGAAGCGTTCCCCGTTCTCCTTTCATTTTATTTTGATCGGTCTCCGCGACGCTCTTTCTCGTTTGGTGCGGTAGCTGGTCTTTCTTTCTATCATTTTGTTTCTCGTCCGAGTGGTTTTTTTACCCTACTTTTTTCTGTTTCTTCGTGGGGTCGTGCATGCCGGGTTTTGAGACCACGGGCTCCCAATCTTTCTTTTTTAGAGCTAATGTGAGAAATAACAACAAACTCTGGAGTAACACTCACCCAATGTGCGGCTCCGCATATCTGCAGCAGTATGAAACAGCTCGATGAAGCTGGAGTAACAGCCGTTACGAGCTGCCCAATGCATTTATCTACATTACATACATCATTGTACTATAATACGGCCTGTCACAGTCAGGAACACGCCACGAAATCTAGGCACGTTCCTTCTGTGGTGGGACGATGGCTGCGGCCTAAATCAAGAGAATTGATAGAATTTGGCTTGTTTCCGGGCGCATGTGTTTCTTCATGTTGAGCGAAATAACTCGAAATACATTCGGCAAACCGATGCATAGCCCATAATGGCAATGCCGTGAGAGGTAACGGCGGAGAAAGAAAGCCGAGATGTTGGTGTGTTGACGTTTTCCGGCGACCGCCGAGACATTTGAAGCAGGGCGTCTTGTTTGCGGTTCTTTTGGTTTGGTTGGTCTTTTGGCTGGAGGCCTGCTCACCAGACCAGTGTGATTCCGCAACCACCACCGGGCTTCATGTTGGAGGGTATCCATGATACGTGTGATCGCTGAGAGATGAATCACACCTTGTTCCGTTTGCCCCTTGTTGTCTGTCACCCAGCCGACTTCCGAACGGTAGTGGAAGATTTTTATGAACCAAGCGCAGACGGAGGAGATTTGCAGAGCCAAGTCACGTACGAGTGCTTGTCACTCTTGTGCGGCGGAGCTGGGGGTGGCGAGTGTGGGGGAGGGGTGGTGGGTGGCGGGAGGTTTGCTGAGAGCGAAGCCTTCGCGGACAAACTTTCCTTCAGGCTCGAGCGAGATCGCGCTCAGCAAAGGAGGGTAAGCAGGATTCATACAATACAGACGAAAAAATCCATGCGTATAAATGCGGCAACGCCTTTGACGTGGAGTGACTTCGTGCGGTAGAAACAAGAGAAAAATGGAGTCGACATACACGTGTTCCATGACGTGGTCACCCCGCCGTGAGTGCTCCCTAGTGTTTGTAGCCCCCACACCCTTGCCACACCATACGGTCGGAGGATGGGCTACACCAGGCCGTGGTGCGAAGGTAGGAGCCCCACCTGTGCATATTTGGTGTAGTGTGTGGATCATTGTCCGGGAAGATACGCACGACCCCTGGAAGATCTTGGGAGCACATGTAAGGTGCGTTCTTCCGCTTCATTTGGTTTTGCTTTGGAAGTGTCCTTGCGCTGCCGGCGCTTTTCACTGTTTCCGCCGGTGCTGGCAATGTCGACCTTTTCGCCTCTCAATCGTTGTTTGTTCCGTCGTACGAATCTCAGCAAAGTGTAGAGAGTAGCGCGGAGGTGGAGCAGGCGGCTGTGCAGCTCGTGTCCAGTCTGCCAGAGGAAACATTGTGCAAAGTTCTAGCCAATCGTGAGGTGGGTGATATAAGCAGCAAGGTTTGGTGGTATGGGTTCGACTCCTACTGACAATTTATTCGTTTTTGGAGTGTTCGGAGCTTGCTGGATGCACAGTGAAGGTAAGAAGAACCTGGCGTGTCTGATGCTGCTGTGATCGTCAGCTTCTCGCCGTGGTGCATCATCGTTTCGGCACGTTCTTTTGCGACTATGATAACGCCATCGTGAAATATATGCGCGGGCTTGTCTGACAGAGGCCTGTTCTTGGGTACGCCTTGCTTGTGTGTGGTTCTGGAGTTGACGATACGAATAGTACGGCCCATGTTCTCAAAGATATCGTTCTATCCTGAACATCAAATCTCCTTGCTCCTTTTCACTCCTGGCTTCTCTCTTGCTAATGTTTGCCACACACACACCCGCGCGCGCTCTCCCCAACGCCACTTTCGGCCCCCCTCCGTTAAATGCAATCAACGCTTGGGCGCAAAAAATTCACGTGCCGCGACAAATACAACGAATGCACGGAACCTTACCGACAGGCGACCACCACCCTTCTAGGCTATGCCGCCGAGCACCCCAATGCAGCCCTGAGGGCGTTCTCTATATCAAGGCTAGCATCGGTGTGTATCAGGTGCTGGTCTTTCCTCGACCGTCGCGCGTTCGTGAATGGGGGCTTCGAGGAAGGGGGAGACGCCCAGCGATACAAGCAGGTAGGGCCCTTTCCCTCCCCTCCCCCCCCCTCCATCTCGTCCTTTGCTGGTTCTCTTGCTGGGGACACATGATGCTATGCTGTATGTCCCTCTTGGTGGTGGTGTTTTATTTAGGCTCTCTAGATCGGCTCATGTACCCGAGCATCACCAGCGCACGTGTCACTGTGCCCGTCCACTTAGCGTAGCTCCCCTGTTAAATCAAAACGCACCCGCCCATCTTGGTTGCTGGTCACCACCTCGTGTTGTCCTTCCGTTTGGACCTCAAACGATGGGAGTCGCCAACGGTTAATCCAAGGTTCAAGTCATAACTGTCTGCGTATGAGGAGGCGCAGCTTACCCTGCGTAGCCGACATCTGGCGGAATGCTCGACCACACGATAGATAAATGATGTCAACACCGCCGTGCACTTGGAATTTAAACCGCGAAGGGCCCGTTTTCTGTTTGTCGAACCCAGCGGATTCGCGATTGGATTCACGACTTCTTCTCGGGCCTCCCCAAGCTGTGCGACGACCCCAGCAACATCGTCGCCGCCGCCGCCTTCTCGGCAATCGAAGCACTGCTTCGGGAACACCCGTTGTGTGAAACGGCAGTGGACAAGGAAGTGCGGGGGTTCTGGGGTCTAGAGAGCGACGGGGAGGGGGGGGTGCAGGAAGGCCGAGGAAGCAGAGGAACCCCCGGTGGCATGTTTGGCGGACACAAGCAGGTACGGTACACATTCGACGACCTCGCGACGGCAAAATCCTTGCTTGCCCGAGTATGTGGATGCACTCTACCGTCTGCCGTAGATATGCATACTTTTTGTTTGATTGGAGTAGCAAGCAGTCTGGCGCCTGATTCCGCACACGGCTATTACGCGCGACGCTCGCACCACTGCTGCGACCGTGTTTGGGGATCATGCCTCGGCTGGCCCGCTCGAGTTCCTCTTGTTTTTTGGCCTCGCGTATGTACGTTGCCTCTCACAGTGCCCACTAGAACTTGCTTCTCTCGTTTCCGCACATATATCTCCCAACGTATCCTTCCATTTTGCTTCCCGTTCTTTCGGCTGAAGCGTATGCAACGCTGTGCACACCCACAAACACGTACCCCGTATGTTTTGTGTCCATCCAAAGGCGTTTCCGCTGCAGCACATTGGCGAGATCGTCCTCCGCTCCGCGCTCCCTCGGATCCGGCGACTGCTCCATCGCCAGTCGCGGATGGTGGTGGATGGGGAGCCTCAAACGGCGGCCCCGGCCATGAGAGCGTGCGCCTCTCTCATGGTCGCAGCTCTTCGTCTTTCCACGAGCCCTTCGGGGAAGCCGATCAAAAACTCCCTGCTGCAAAACCCTACCTCGGTGGACTTCCTCGGCGTCAAGAGGAGTGCTCTCAGCCGCGGTCCCAGCGGCAACGACGCTGACGCCGAAGGCTCAACGGGGAAGGAAGAGGAGGAGGACCTGGACGCCACCTTGCCTCCCAAGGATCTTGCAGAGGAGTGGCTTCGCGCACGTCTGGGGGGCATCCTGGAGGGGGGGAGGGGCGGAGACGCGCTGCTGGTGGAGACGGCGGCATGGGCGACCCTGAGGGTGTTGCAGACGGTGGCGATGGGGCCGTTGAGGGTGTCGGTCGCGCCGAGGGTCGCGGAGGCATTTCTCAGGGTCCTCATGGCTGGGAAGGTGTGTGCTCCGGTCGTGGTGATACGGACGTAAGAGAGTGGCGGCATGGCTTCGGAAGGGCGTACTTGACGGAAGGCAGTAGTGGCCTTGGGTGCGATTGATGGTGGTGTGTTTTGTGCATCGACCCCGCCCCGTTCTCGGGTTGCCCAGAATTTTTTTGTTGTAAGCATACACGATCAGAGATTTTTTGCAGACAGCACCAGAAAAAATGTATTGGAAGCTAGGCGTGCGAAGGGCAGCAGTAGGTGCCTGTCCTGCTTTGACTGATTGATTCCAGTGAGAGTAATTGCTCCGGTGTCTCACGATAAGGGCCACGCACGCGCGCAGGTATACATGATGCCACAGGTAAGGTGAACAAACACCGGCTTCTTCCCTGAGTTGGAGGGTGGGAAACCACCAAATTTTGAAGCAAGCACTGCACCCGCCCGTAGGCTCTTTTTAACGTGTTCTGCTTTCCCCCCGTGATTTCGAATGACAGGCCGCCACACCGAAACACTTGTGGCCATCGCTACACGCCGGGCACCAGGAGGTGGCCGCGGGCTCGGCGCTTGCCCTCCGACTGGCGTCCCCCTCCGCGACGGCGGCGCTCGCGCCGCACGTGCTAGCGGCCGCGGAGCGAGTGCCTCAGCCCAGGCAACGACTAGCCCTGCTGGCCGACGTGTTCTTCCTCCTGCTGGTTCGCCCGGGTAGGAACGGACGCTCCCCTTGCGACGGTGGCGGTAGCGGAAGCGGTAGCGGCGGCGGCGAGAGGAATGATGACCGGCAAGGAGGGGAAGGCGAAACCGGGAGCAGCCGGACAGGCGCACCGAGAGAGGGGGCGAAAATGCTAGCTTCGGTGCTTGATGAAGAGTGGTTCGGGCAGCTGGTATCGGATTCACCCGGCAGCAGCGAGAGGCGGCTGCTGTTCAGGGAGGAGGCTGTGGCGGTCCTTGTGACGACTTGCGCACAGGTGAGAGGAGACCTCGACAAGTTTTAACTCAATAACTCTTAAGTCTTGCTTGGAGAGGTTTGGGTGAAACGGGCTGAAGGGGGGCTGGAGCGAAGTGGAATAGCTTTGGAGGGACATGGGGGAACGGGCTAGTCAATGCAGTAGGTCGTCACGCGCTGGGCAACCGGCCGCTCATCAGACCAGACTGGACGTAAAATACATGATGCTGACGAAATTCCCACGGTATGTGTGTCCTCTCGTGGCGGGTGTTGTCTATCTTCCATGCCGCATTTTGTTTGTATCCATTGCACCTGTCGTATCCACCAAACGCTGGTATGAAAACAAGACTTCCGTGAGTGGTCTTTGACCGCTTTCCTCCGCATTCACTTCTATGTCCACGTGTTCCAATCAAATCGACGTGTTTCACCAGGTTCTTGCAGCTGGAGTCGTGGCAGCTCTGTCTCCCGCGGCGGAGAAGGCTGCCGCCGTGGGCATTGGCAACCTCGCACGATCTTGCAACAGCAGATGCCGGGCAACCGCAGCGCCGTCGGATACAAGGGAAGGGCGCAAGAACGACGCTTCCGTTGGAAACGGGACCGCTAATTTCGCTGCAAGTGTGTCGGCGGCGGCGGCAGCGAGGGCAGCGGCAGCGGCCAAGAAGGGGCGCTGGTCTGACCTGGAGACGTGGCTGGACTGCTCCTTAACGGCGCTCGAGGCTTTCACGCGGTGCGTCAACTGGAACTCGAAGACGGGGTACGTCGGCGGCCTCGCTTACGTGCGGCTCTTGTCTCTCGTCCTTCGGTTGCTGTGCCCGTTGATGACCGCGCCGGCAGACGGCGGGGACGACAGGGATTCCGCCAGCGCCGCCGGTAGAGTTTTGTTGGGGGGTCGATCCTACGGTGGCGGCGGCGAAGGGGGGGTAGACGTGGGCGTAGCGCTTGACGACGACAGCACGGGCGGGGGAGGGCGGGGGAGGTTAGCGTGGGCGCGACAGAGGCTGGCTCACGTGGTGGACGACTTGATGTGGAGGCTGCGGGAAGGGCTCCCCGGCAGGGACATACGCCTACGTCTACTGCAGGTACTTGAAAGGATACGATGGATGACCGTCGACTATCGGTGTGCGGTGCGGGTGGACTGGGGCGTGGGCGATGGTATTTTCTGAAGCGTGTTCGATTCGTTTTTGTTGCCCGACCTTTCTTTGTGTTCATTTTCTCCATTGTTGCAGTCATGTGACTCTATTTTCCACCATGTGTGTTCGAGTTGAGACATGCGGGTCTAGGTTCATTTGTTGTGAAACTGGAACGTTGCACGCGTGTTCCGAGTACCGCATTAGCCAATGCTCTGTATATCCATGTGGGCCTGACGCGAATTTTGTTTCCATCACCTCACGTCTAGCCTGTTTGACCAACATGTAGACTCCCCGTGGGGATTAACATTGTTTGCCTTTTGGCGGTGTGGTTTCCCGTCCAGATTTCCGGCACCGCATGTCTGAAACAGACTGACCGTGCGCACTCTGGTCGGTGTACATTTTCATTATGCTCAGGGTGAGCTGTTTTCACCCCCAATACTTTTTGGTAACGCGGCAGCAGACAGGACGATTACGAAAGCGCAGTGTCGATACCACCTTTGCCGGGTCGGTGTCTCTCTTTCTTTCAACACCAGCCACTCTTTGCTTAGCCGCTCGACGATACTGAAAAGCACAAAGCATTTCACTACCCCTCCTGTCGTTGCTGCTTCTGTTGCTCCACCACCCGCTTCAGGCAACTTGCACCCATGTGGGGCTATCGGCAGTGGTCAGCGGAGATGTCGGGGTGACCGAGGATTCGGCGAACGAGCTGGTATCTGTGCTCCAGGTACAATATTTTCTGTGTGTTTTGTAGAGCATTTGCCTTACTGTACGAACACAAGTAAAAAGGCACGAGTTCAAAATTACCTGTCTGCCGGTTGCCTGATGTACTACAGCAGTAGTGTTTTGTTCGCAAGCGCAATGTTTTCGTTTGATACGGGACCTCCTTCTTCCCCTTGCTCTTAGGTCCATGCGAATGGAAACGCAAGCTTCTTCAGCTGTAAACCCACCCTGGGCAGCTGTCGCCGCCCAACACGCTACCCGTGCACGGACCGATCGCCCCCGCACCTTAGCATATGGCCCCTTCCCGATTTTTCTCTAACACCCATATCCAATCTCTCCCCCCGACTTGGTTTTTTCCGGCGAATAAGCCATCGAACACTACTATTTCCCCGTTAGCTGGCTTACCAAGCTCCTTGCCTGGTACCTACCAAGTATCCACCCACCCACCCACCCACCCACCCCTCATCGTGAGCAGTTGAAGACCGCGCCCCGACTGGTGCTTTGCTACATACAAACTTCCTACGGGACGGTGGTGGCATGTCCACCGAACCAAACCCACTCGCACATCCACACGCTCTCCTTCCGTCAAACTATCTCAAAACACGCGCGCCGGCGCGAGAACAGGGTGAGCTGGGTGAGCTCGACGCGCAAGCCGGCTTCAGCACGCAGCCGCGTCCTGCTCGGGCGGCGACGAGTGGCGGCGATGAGCCCGGCGACGGCGATGACGGGAACAGGGGAGGAGACGCCCACGTCGGCCGCGGAGGAGGCTCCACCGGCTCGCCGGCGGCGGGCGGCGGCGGCGGCGGCGGCGGCGGCGCTGCAGCCCCTCAGGGACAGGGGGGTGATGACGGAGGCGCAGGGCGAGAAGCAGGTGGCGGTGGGCAGTGGGAATCGATTTCGTCCATCTCTGGGCGGACAGGGAGTTTGACGGATGTCATGGCGCACGAGCTCGTGATTGGCTGCCTCGTGAGGCTGGCGCTGGTGACGGAGGGAGAGACCGCCCACGAGATCATGTCTGTGTTGGAACACCAGCGGGGCAGGGCGCGCGCGAGGGAGAGGCTGGGGCGCGGGGCCATCGGGCCCATGGAGGAGGTTGTCGCAAAGGTGGGCACGGTGTGGTATGCCCAGGTGGTATATAGTAAGCGGAAGGCCAATGGCGTGTCCCTGCACTACGTCTGTAGCGCGAGGTGTTGCACTAGATAGAAGTGATGGGAGTGGTATGTGCTGCACTTGGAGCGAAGGGACTGTGGTACAAATCACGGTGAACCAACACACTTACTTCTCTCCTGCTCGTTGCGCACCTTGTGTCTTGTGTGTTTTTTTTCTTTTTTTTTCTTCTTCCATGATCGTGCTTTCTTTCGCGACTTCCGCTCTACATCTTGAGCCCCAAGGCTTATTCCCGACGAACGACATGTTCTTAAGGGCAAACGCGCGTATCGAAAGAAGTTTGTCCACGGCGGACCCATTTTCCTTTCACTGATGACAGGGTATCCGAGCTCTCCAGTTGCTCGTCTTCCCAGCTACAAGACCCAAGGTCGCAGATGGTAGCCCGGAAGCGGTGCTGCTCAAGAGACTTGTGAGGACGATGGACCTTGGATGGCATGCAGTCGTGCAACCCGACGGTGAGGTCACAGCAGATAGCGGTATGGACGTCTCTTGTGTTTTGGCTTTGGTGGTTGACATGTGTGTTGTGGCCGTGGGTGCACCCATCCGAGCCTAGTTTTCTCGTTCACGACCTGGATAAAGACCATGTACAATAGGGACAAGACAACCCGTGTGTAAATGAACTATGCGTGAAAAGCAGAGGGTTTCGACGAAAGCTTTTGGCCCTGCCGTAGTACAGAAAGGTTTCCCTTTAACAGCACATGTGGCAACGTGCTGCGAAAAATCTGAAAACCGTCGCGTGCTATTGGTACCTTTGCCCTTGTTCCCCTTCTTTTGCTACGAACGGGTTCTTCTCTCGTATAACAGAACGCGCTCTCACGGGCAGCAGTGCGGAGTTGTTCGACCACGAGGCGCATGCCTTCCCCAACCTCCACCGCCGTCTTCGAAGGCTCCTTTGCGGAGGGATCGGTGTCGATACCGCGAATACCGATGAAAGACCTAGCACCGGCAGTGGCGATTTTCCTGGAGACTTGGAGGCGGGAGCAGCGGCGGTGATTACGCCGTTCGAAGCTCACGCCTGGGACGAAGAAGCACCGCAAGCTCAGCTGAACGGCGGAAGCGACCCTGTTGTCGTGACTGCCTCTCACGTAGTCTATCACGGCGGTACCGGCGGCGGCGCTTGTGGCGCGACGGGGGGAGGGGGAAAGGCCGTCGGTCCCACGACGCAGGTGGCGCTCGCGTTCGCTGGTGTAGATAGGGATGCCACTTCGCCTGCCATCATTCCTGGGCTTGTCGGAAAGGTTGCGAGCCGTGGCGTGGCGCTTCGGGTTAGGGTCTTCAACGCGACAAACACCAGGCTACACGGGTTTTCCATTCGGCTTAGCTTTGGACAGGGCGGGGAGGCGGCGGGAATGGGAGAGGGTGGGCGGGTGGAAAGCGCCGTCCAGGAGGTGCGTAAGGCGTGCCTGTGAGTCGGGGTGTAGTTGTGCCTTGCCTACCGTAATCTGCTGTGTTATGCAACGAGCAACGGTTGATGTCGTCTTTGTTCGTTGAATGAAGGTATGTCGGAAACAATGAAAGGCTTCTGTGTAGGGTGGTCCGACTATCCCTGTGAGCAAGGTTGGACGTGCCCGCCTCGTAGGAAAGAGCTCTGGTTTGCGTTTGTATGACGAGCGCACACGGGTGCTCTCAACAAATTAAGACCCATTTCATTCTTGTTCTGAATCATAAACACGCTCGCGACTAAGCTGCCACCTTTAAGTAGCAACATCAAAACATGCACGGTTGCCAAAGCTTGCGAGTGAGTGAAAGACTACCCCTGGGCCCTTGCTTTTGCCGTCCGCTTCTGACGTGTTGAAGGTACTGATGCCGTCTGCAGCTCACACGCTAGAAGTACCGGTAACGCCACTGGACATCCTGACAGACGTGATCGTGCACGTCAGTGTCGCCTTCCCAGATACGGAGGTGGGTGTCGAATGGCAAGCTATTTAGCTGTTTCCCGAATTTTCGTTTGTCTTGTCAAAATAGTCATGTCGATTTTTTTTTTTTGTTGAGGTGGTCGTTCACATGACCTGTGCGGTTGTCCGGGGGGGAACACGAATGGCCAAGGCTTATTTCAACCCCCGTGTGCCTACCGTGGCTGCCTAGAATTTCGACGTAAGGATGACTGTGTATGCATGCCCACGAGCAGCTGCAGTACCACGCCCATACAACAACACACCTGCTTTCCAGTGGTGTTGCAGGCCCACCATTTTATGCCACTGCTGTACCACTGTCTTTGTGGCTATGTGAATGCACGCATATGTCTGCCTCGATCACATCTTGACTCGTTGGCAGATATTGTACCGCGCATTCGAATTTCCCGACGTCTGCGCCGCTCTGCATCCATCCCCTCGCATTCAAGCATCTCTAACTGACCTTCTCCTCCTCGCCACCGGTACGACGCTTTTCATCGCCCCGCACCTATCACCTCCCTGACCTGGTCACTCTCGAACAGCCTGAGTCGGAGTTTGAGTCAGAGGGCACCGCCGAGCTCCTTGGCGTTGAAAGTACGGAAAAGGGTAGAGGGGGCGATAGCGGTGGCGGCGGCAGCAACGCGGTATCGGGCTTTGGGCAAAACCAACAAAGCTTCGATGGCGGTGCCGGTGACACAGGAGTAGACGGCGGCGGCAACGGTTCGGTAACCGTGATCCTGCAAGCCGGGAGTTACCGCGTACCCGCGGAGGCATTCTTGGGTCCTCCGGAGCGAGCCGCGGCCACTTGGGTCGGGTTTCAGAACGTTTGGTGCGGGTTGCCATACGCGACGGCGATTCCTGTGGAATCTGCACGTCATCTGCCGCGTGCGAGAACGGCGGCGGCAGGCCACGAATACGCGGCGATGTCTTTGCGGACGGCGAGCGGGGTACGGCTCGCAATGATGCCGGCATCAAGTAGAGGAGGAGGCGGTAGAGGCTGTGATGATGCACGGGCGGCGGCAGCCGTGGAGTGCCCCGTCGGAAACACGGACTACGCGGTGTCGAGCGCGTGGGTGTTCCAGGCCTGGGACGGCACGCCAGTTCTGTGCGCCCTCACCGCGATGAAGGCGCCCTTCTCCTTGCCCCACGCAACCGGCGGTGGGGGCAAGGGTAGAGGTGGGGGTGGGGGGCAACCCTCCTGGTACGGCCGCCTTGAGGTGCGTTGCGGCTCTCGCGCTTGCTTGGAATTCGCCCAATGCAGTCCTAAAAGACTGTCGACCTTCGTCACGAACGGAGTGCTTGCGCCCCCCGCCGCTGGCAACCAGCAGCAGCCACGTCCGTTCAATAGGGATTTTTTGCCGACAGCGCCTGCGGCAAATGCGGTTTGTGGTGGCGGTGGGTTGAACGGGCCACACCCTGATTGGTTCTCCCGAACGGACACGGTGGGCGTGCCGCCGCCACCCTGCCCCCTGGAGCAGAGGGCGGGAGTCTTCGCAACGGATGCGGCTAAGTTTAAGCCGCTAGCGCGAGTGCTGAGAGACCAGCAACGCGTGGATACCACGCAGCCGGCGACCGCGCAGCCAGTAAGGGCCTAGTCGCAGGCCAGAGGCGACGGTTTTTTTTCCAATCGGGTCACGTTGGAGGCGGGGATTCTACCCTCCAATGGGTGTTCGCTTTACCGTTTTGATAGCAACGTGTCAGGGGTTCTCGCTGCACTTGTTTTTGTTGATAGAAAAGAGCGAGAATTGTAAAAGGTATCTGCTATTCGAATGGTTGGAACCCGAAATTTTCAGTAAGGGCATGCATGGTGGTCGAGTCTGAGGTTGTTGGGATGCGAATGCAATGAAATGCTCAGCGGAAGATGCGCCTTGACGGCCAGTATCATCGGGTGTCTTCGCTGAAACTTGATCGTGGCACTTGTCCTTCCTGGAGTACCTTCAGTTCGCAGATGATGGGGCCATTATTCTTGATATTTTGCGCTTTAGTCTAGTTGTGTCTTGGGTCCCGGCTCAAGTGCCAATGAAGTGTTGTAATTTGCTTCTCCGCTTCCGTTTTAGAATTTGTAGCACTGCTGTCCATGGCAAAAGGCCATCAGTAGCAGCAGCGTCGTCATGTCGAGAGCACTCGTTTTTCATAGATATGAGATTTGAATCACTACGTTACGTTAGCCGAGTTTTTTGTTCGTATGATTGTTCCGCACATCCCCTTGAGGGTGAATGAAACTTGTCGTTGCATACTCTTTGCGGAATCCAACTTTGTTTTGTATCGGTCCGTGTTGTCCATCAAGTTGAAGCACAGAGCGTAGCACCAACCAGCTTCAAAATGCTTGGGAAATGGTGGTGGAGAACGGGCTAAATCAAAGAATCCGAATGTATTAGAAGACTGCCCGCGGCCTTCGCTGTCAAAGAGTATTTTTTACGTGTCTCACGCACAACTCTTTAGCTGCCCAAAGGCAAATGTATTTTGAGTCGAAATTAAGTTGCTACGCATAGCGTCCAGCTTTTCGTTCCAGGAGGTTGGACATTGACCTTTGATTCAACAATTTTTTTTATGAATATCGCCGAGCGTGATGGCTGTAGTTTTGGTTCAAAGTAAAAAATAGTAAAAGAATAGACCCCGCCGTCCGCAGATCGTTGCACGCGAAGTTTCACGTCCAGCCGCGGCTAGTGGTGTGTAGAATTCCCCGAAGTGCCGGTTGAGTAGTGCCGGTGCTTTCGGCGGACACACGCTGAATTTACCACGCAAGTATTTATTTCTGCACTTGATTCTTGGTGCCGGCGATTGTTCTGGGCACATACCGGCACGAAACAGGGAGCTCCACGGCGGTGTCACGCTGTGTATGAACTACTTTAGGACGTACATGTTCATCGGATGCAATGCGGGCACTCACTGCTGCTGCCCTTATTTCTAAGTACTCGAATGCATGTGTAGCGTCTCTCTCCATATATTTTTTCTGTTGCAGCGGAAAAGAAGTCACAAAAGGCCACCCCCCCTCCACGACGGGTGTTTCATTACGCACAGCAAGAAGATGTTGCGCGCTACCGCAATACTTCGTACTTCACCAACAGCTGACGGTGTCGGAGAAGAAGACGGAGACGCTGCTGATGCGCGCGAAGGACAAGCCGACTACAACATCACAGCCCCCCCCGCCTCCACCGCTCACCATCGAAGCCGCGGGACAGAAATA